GAGGAGAGATTAACAGGGGAAAAGAAAGTGAGAGAGTGGAGATGTAGTTAGGGTAAAAAAAAAAGACAGAGGCATGGGGGGGGGGGGGGGGGGGGGCAGAAAGAGCATAGACATGTTGTTGTGGTGTCTCAGGGGTGAAAGGCGCCGTTAGGGGAGTAATATTCCAGCTCCGCCACAGTGGAAATACTGAGTGTGTGTTTGTGTGTGAACACGCGTCACGTCAGCTCCGCTCTCTGTTCCTATCTCTCTCTCCATGTGTCTTTGAGGGCAGTCATCTGCCTGGCATGTGATTGTGCTGTATAAAAGTTGTTTTTATTTTATTTATGAAACTGACAAATATTAGTAGTTAAATTGTGAAATGATTTGTTAAGTCGTTTTTATGTAAGGAAGATTTGAATAGCATCTTATGTGACTAACCTCTTTTAATTGCTTATTCAGTTGTATTAGAGGATTGTGATTTGATTTGAGATCTCCATAGCTTTAAAACAGAAGATATTATATTATAATATAAAAGATAAGCAATGAAGCTCATTATCAATCTTTTCTTTGTAGTACTAAATGACTTTACGGTGCATTGCTTGGATTGATACATTTTCTGTTGGCATGATTACACATTCGTCACTTTCATTCTTTCCTTAGATTCTTCCCAAAATTCATAAATATACTTTAACGAAATAGAGATGCAACATTAAAGGTGGGGTAGGTAAATGATTGGTCGTGCTTTTTACAGTATTACGGCTTCCACAGATGACATTTTTTTATGGATTTATTGTCAAAGCACTTAAGATATTCATTGCTATCAGGATGTTAAGAGCATTCCATGGAATATAACAAAAAGTGTATCTCCAGCCGGTTTCTCAAACTTACCTACCCCACCTTTAAGCTGATAAGTTGATCAACAGAAAATAAATTAGCAACTGTTGTGAACGTCTTTCCTTTGTTTTGATTTATAGTTGAATGCCTTTTTTGGATTATAACATGAAAATAGGCAGAGATGCAACAAAGGTCGCTGACTGAACTCGAAATGGCTCCCTACTTTTTGTCTGTAGATTTGCTGCTAGTTTCTGTTTCATATAATTGTGGAATTAATTACTTTAAGTGTTAGACTGTTTGGAAAGTAAGACGTTGGGCTGTCAGGTTGGGCTGTGGAAAAGAACGATGGACATTTTTCGAATGTGTTGACATTTTAACGAGAAAACAATAAGCAGATTATTCGATGAATTTAGTTTGTTGCAGCCTTATTATTTTGTTAAATTAAACTGGCCAACTTGCATTTACATGTGTATGGGTGAGAAACTAAATGGACAGAACTGAATCTATAAAATAACTTTTAGCTCAGAGGAGGAGAAAGAGAGAAAATGGGTGAGGAGGAAGAAGAGGAGGAGGAGGAGGAGGAAAGTGCTTGTGGTTGTTGTTTGGTCACTGTGTCCATCCAGCCCTCACATGGAGAGAGACAGCTGCCACTCTGAATATTTCATGAGATCTACACAATGCCACACACACACACACACACACACACACACACACACACACACACACACACACACACACAGACCCCACCCCCAGTGAAATCCTTTGAATATACCTACAACCTCCACACACACTCATACACACCCAACTTGTGTTAACTTGTGCCATGGAGCAGAATCTGTTCAGGCAAAAATAAAATAGAGAACACAACAGGTGGTTGTTCTTTGAGTGTGTGTGTGTGTGTAGGTGAACGAGCTTGCTTGAATGTGTTTGTGTGTGTGTTTTAATATGTGTTTGTGTGTGTCTCACCCTGTGCATCAGTCCCAGCAGGAGAAGATTGACAGCATCGAGGACAACGTCAACGCAGCCGCTGCCAACGTGGAGGAGGGGACCAAGAGCCTGGGGAAGGTGTGTGTGTGTGTGTGTGTGTGTGTGTGTGTGTGTGTGTGTGTGTGTGTGTGTGTGTGTGTGTGTGTGTGTGTGTGTGTGTGTGTGTGTGTGTGTGTGTGTGTGTGGTGTGTGTGTGTGTGTGTGTGTGTGTGTGTGTGTGTGTGTGTGTGTGTGTGTGTGTGTGTGTGTGTGTGTGTGTGTGTGTGTGTGTGTGTGTGTGTGTGTGTGTGTGTGTGTGTCCTGATGATCTGATATGTGTGTGTGTAATGTTTGGGAGATGGGGAGATCGATGGCACTTTGCCTCCCAGCCATTCCACAGCGTTTGTCCCTATTGATCCGCTCGAATACGGAGGAAAGCTGCAATTAAGGAAATAGAGAGAGGAGAGCGATAGAGGGGAGGGGAGGAAGAGTGATAGAGAGGTAGGATGAGAGGGGGGACAACAGAGGATCTGTGTGTTTGTGTGTGTGTGTGTGGTGTTAAGGAGAGGTTTGAATGACTGTTTAATAGTTTTTCAGGAGCAGCACTGGCCTTCCGTTATCAATTCAATACACTCTCACACACTGAGTGTAACTCAGAAGAACGACTCAGTGCCCTTCACACGTATTACTCAATTGAAATGATGAACTTTTGCCTGTAATACTGAGAATGAATCACCTGTTTGTGTTAATGTACAACACACACACACACACACACACACACACACACACACACACACACACCAGTGAACACTGTTTTTTTACCAAGGATTGTGACATTTTTCTAACTTTACTTTCACTATTTTGTTTGTCAGATGAAGCAGTCTTTTTTGATCTGTGTTTTGCTCACACTTTAGGGAACATAATAGAGGCCTAAAGTAATTACACTGTAATTACAGACTCTTAGACGACACCAAGTCGAGATTCCTGTGTGCTGAAACAAACCTATAAAGGCTAACACTGCACAGAACATTAAAAACAGACATGTCTTAGCTGCTTACACAGTCCTGCCAAGGCTACCTACCGTTATTATGTCAATTACAAAAAAGTGGTATTAATTGAGCCGTGCAGATACTGAGTTGTCCTGGTTACTGAGTTTTTTGCCACCATTAAAGAACAAATTAGATAATATTTTTGTGGTGTTCAATGCATAAAAAAACCCGATATTCAACCAAATCTATTCCATTTCATTTCATTGTTATTTAATGTAATGGCGTGGTTCCATTCACCGACATTGGTGTCGGGTAAAATCAGCTGTTTTGAATGAAATGAAAGGGCGAAAAAACCTTTGACACTTTGAGCTGCAGCTCTAACATTTATAAAATAAATTGCACAAATATTAAAAGATTCTTTTGAAAGGGTTATTTTTAATTTAAATTCACCCAATTGGCGACACAAACAAAGGTCGACCTCTGTCACGCTGCTGCTGGATGTAGTGGGCTGCACATTAGACGGTGGGGGGGGAGATAAAACAGATGAGAGGTATGTCAGATGTTTTCACGCGTTTGAAAGCTTGTAATCTGTCATCAGGTCATAAAGCACACACACACACACACACACACACACACACACACACACACACACACACACACACACACACACACACACACACACACACACACACTTACACTTCTCCTCCGTCCTCCACAACCTGTGCCCAGAGTCCTTTTAACTCGGCTCAGATTAAATTAAATATTCCCTCAATTGCCACAGGGGTGGGGACAAGCAATGCTAGCTTTTGAACTAGATTAATTTAATGGTGAAGTGTTAATCAAGTGTGTGTCCCTGCATGTGCGTGTGTGTGTGTATCTGTGTCATTAATTGTCATCAGCAAAGCGCACCTTCCACTCTGATGATAACAGCCGTAATAACACCCAGGCCACATCTCTCTGATTTCCTCTAAATGGAGATTATGAAAACTCTTTGAAGCAGCTATGGCGGTGTTGATTTACATTTACACATGCAGGCTTGTTTGGGTCTTCTTCTTTTTTTTTTTCTTCCTCCTTCCGTGGCTGGATTTGTGATCATGAAAGGATAGACGCGTCCAAACTCTATCACAAAGTACTAATGCCTCCCAAGGTGTGTGTGTGTGTGTGTGGATGTTAAATTAAACTATATTTCTTCTCCCTGTCTCTCCAGGCGGTGGGCTACAAGTTGGCGCTGTTGCCGGTTGCCGGGGCGTTGCTGGGCGGTGTGTTGGGGGGTCCCCTCGGCTTGCTGGTGGGGTTCAAAGCAGCAGGGGTGGCTGCTGCTCTGGGAGGGGGGGTACTGGGGTACGCAAGCGGAAACCTGGTCCAGAAACAACGCAAAGCCAGAGTGGATCTACAGATGAAACGACTGACAGCACCGCCACCAGAACCAGAGACACACAAAGACAAATGACCCAACAGTCGGTTCCATGCTCTGACCTCAGGCCTGATCACTAAAGGCTTCGATTAGGAGCTCTAACTGGACCTCCGGCAGTGTCACATTGCCTTAAAGAGACCCGCTGTAACGTCATCAGGCTTCTCTGTTGCCGCTCACATACTTTGATGTTCGGGTATGAATGGTTTGTCTGTGAAGAGGTTTTACCAAATGTTATACACAGCTGAATTTGTATTCCCAACGCAACTAAACAGTTATTTACACTACATTATTAAGCGAGTGGTTGGGTGGGATTTGGTGAAATGTCTTTTTTTTTAATGTCGTCAATTAAACCCAACCATTCTGTCAAATGCTATCCCTAACAAGGAAGGGCTTTGTCCCAGATTGTGCTCCTTCACCAGGGTTTGTCTCCAATGATCATGCCTTCATATTCCTTTAAGCAGGAAATAGTATCCTAATGTGAACAGCTGCACTACGGAGACTACAGTAGTAATGATGAATAGATTATGCATTGAGTCACTGTGGTTTAACCATTGCCTAATGTAATGTGTTTGTTTCAATGTTTATATAAAGTATACTGATTATATTTACAGACTTGCTAAGTGTGAGAGCATAATTGCACAACAATTCCCAAAGTGCCACTGTCCAGCTCGCTTCAGGAAGAACTGTCAACACTGTGTTGACATGCCATGTTTTCTGCCAAATAAAATGTGTGTTTCTTTCCAACAGAAATGTGGTTGAATGAATAGATAACAGGGTAAATTAAACCAGAGACATACAAAACATCAGACAACACAATATCCTGTAAAATGGTTTTTAATTTACTTTTTTTCAACTCCTCTCCCCCTCTGAGATGACTTGGTTTAGAAATGGCATCCCCCCCCCTGTTGCTCTCCTGTTGGTTGGCTGATATGTCACGATGCAGGCTTCTGTTGTCCTCTATGGAAGGGCAGGACACTCACTACAAACTTAGCAATGGGGTCCTCGCATCTTAACCTGGCTTTGCATTTATTCATGCTCAGGGGATCTCAGGGATCTAGACTTGTACCAAAACCTCAAAGACATATAAAGAGACAAAACCAGTTTTAAGAGAACTTGTATAAAGTGGCCGACTTTAAATTTCCACCGTTCGTCACATGGGTTTTCCCCTTTTGTCTCGCGGCTTTTTTTTAAAACACTGGGAAGTCTTTTCTCCCCTTGCACGATGACACATTTGACAACAAAAACAACAGCCATTTCATGAACTTTTACCATTTTAAAAGTACATCATTGCAAAAACATTTGGTCCTCTTTTAGTTTCCCGGGAAAAACAACTCTGAGGTGGCATGGCAAATACTGTGCCTTTAAAAAGGTAGCAAGCCCCCTTTGACTTTGAATGTTTGACAGTAGTGGAGGTAATCAGCATTTTAGACACTGAACATTCAAATAATGTTCAGATTCCTTGGGTACAAAATTGACATAATTCCTGATTGCGTAAGTATCCATTTCCTTTGAGACCATATTTCATAGAGGCACCTTTGGCAATAGTTACAGCCTTAGGTCTTTTCACTAGGCCTGTAACAGCTTTACACATCAAACACTAATTCTCTCACATTCTACGTTTAAATCTTTTAGATTTGGCTTTAGATATGGGTTGTCCTGCTTGAAAACAGACATCTATTTAACCTTCTACTTTCAGAGGCAAGGCGGCCGCGCTGCAGAAGAGCTGCACACAGCATGATGCTGCCACCACCAGGCTTTACGGTAGGGAGGATGTCTTTTTGGAGTTTTAGGTTTTCTTATGATGGCCAAAAGACTCATCACAAAAAATTAAATCCTAATTACATCCACTGTGATTCAGTGCTTTAAAACAGCGACACATGAAAAGGTCCAAGGGGGCGATACTTTTTATAAGCACTGTAAGAGACATCGTAATCTAGAAGCATTTAGTACCAGGGAGAGAAGGGGGTGCATCTCAACAGGCTGGAGTAGCTCTGTATCTGTATCTTCTGTCTCATGGTTTGATTTCATGTTACCCCAATCAAGCATTTAAAAATATGTTTTCTATTCCTTCAGAACTACCGTTTGTGGAGAAGATATGGAGATAAAGCTACTTCAAACTTCTTATAACTTGTGCTATACAAATGCATCAGACTAGAGTTGGACATATTATTGAGATGCAGCCAGGAGGAGACTAAAACCGCACCTCTCATCAGACAGGCTGAACTACCCACAGATAAGAACCGTACGACTGGAGTGAGGGAACTCTTCAGGGTTTTTTTTTTCTTCTACAAAAAGCCAGGGTGATGTAAAAGAAATCAAATAAAATAAAGAAAACTCTGCATTTAATTTAGACCAACGATGAGACTCCCATGTAGCACAAACATATTTACAAGCTCTGAAAAAAAAATAATAGTAAAAAGACTTCTCTTGATGTCCTAATGCCCTGCTCCCCTGCCCGCACACATTTTCTTCTTCCCCCCTTCCTTTTTGATCCAAAATAAAAATTGTACATGAAAGAGTTATGAAAATATAGGTTATTCCAACATGGTTGTGTCATGGACTGTTTCTTCTCTTCATTCTCTCTTCAGTAAGGGTGTTGGGTGTTGCTGTTCTGTCCCGCTGGCCTGTCCCAACCCTAACCCCCCCCCTCCCCCCGACCCTGGGGCGTGGCATTGAGTCACAGGATCTCTGAAAGGCTGTTGAGGTCACAGCTCGTCGCGGCCCCGGTTGAGGATGGTGTAGCGAGTCTCGCTGGGCGCCAGCTTCTGGAACGAGCTCTCCGGGGGGCTGCTGGCCGCCTCCCCTCCCGTCTCCTCCTGGGGGGGGGGGAACGCCAGAACAAACAGTTAAAGACACACATGATGATGCTAAGCCATGGATGTTGCACCTTGTTTCTGTTATGTGGTAGTGATGTGCTATATGTGACATGTATGTAGTAACGTGTGTTGTTTGCATGTTATTGTTCTCTGTTATCCTTTCGCCTGTATCTGCTTGTCTTTCATCCTTTGTTTTATAACTAATGCTGTTGATGTATTGTGAGTTTAAGGGCGTCCATTATCATCTGGCCGGGGACAACAGCTGGAAATTAGCAATGTTTGCTAAATATGCCCCATTTACTGTTGTTTGTGACAGTGGATCAATGGGGACTGTCCACAACAATATAAACAAATACACTAAAGTCTCAGTGAATGCAGAGTGTGTGCATGCTGTCTGACCTGTCCGGGCGTGCTGTCCGTGGGGTCGGGGCCGTGGTGGAACTCTCGGTGAAGCTTTCCAGAGTGAAGGTCCAGCACAAACTGTCTCAGCTTTCCAGGGATACTGGGAGAAAAAAAAAAACCACAGAAGCAAACATTGAACATGATGCAGGAACCTATTTGTGTCCTTAAATCGTATCCTAAAATCTAACTTAATTGCACAAACCGGTTATAAATGAATAATTTCCGCCTGATGGGGGGCCGCCAATACATGAGTAGGTGTGTGTATTGTGAGATTGAGTCATAAGCACAATTGACCCCTCCGCCCAACTTTACAGGCGTACCTGTTCTGCTCCAACAGTGAAAAGACAAAAGTACACTGCAGAGCATCAGGCCTACTGATACTAATTCAGCCGGGTCTGACACCGAGTTTAATAGATGTATTATGGGACCTGAGACAGTAAGAAAATGTCATAGTACAGCTGTCCAAAATTGGGCTGTACTGTAACAAAGATAAAGAGGAAGGGGCCTGCATGGCAAATGAACTGCACTTACATGACCTTCCCAACTTTGTGAATCATTTGCTTAACAACTCAACCTTAAACATAAGTGAACATGAGCAATTTTGACTTAAATATCTTCCCATCTTGCAGTCTGAAAAAGAGCTAAGGATCAAATCATCAACCCTGAAATGAACAACTTTCTCATCCTTCTGAGCCATAGCTCCAACAGGAAGTGGGTCCATATAGTCAAAGGGATTTAAGAGTCAGGGAGATAAGACTAAAGCATATCATACAGGGGCTGGTGTTGTGGTAGAAATTGGTGAAGGCAACCAATTCACTTTAATCCCTTGAACAGGCCTCTCGAACGCCAGCCTGTTGGTATGAGTGGTTGTTGCATGAGGCTCAGTGACTGTGGGTTGGACAAAGGCATTCCTACACACACAGTTCAGCCATAAAGACAGTAGAGAGAGTTGATGCGAGACAAAGAGCTCGGTGCAGCAGCAGAGGACTCCAGTCCCTGCGGACATGTCATGAAGACATGAAGAAGAATCAACACTTTCCTGTGAAGTGCGCTTATTAACGACAGGTCATGAGCTGTTGTCATATCACAGATCCCCAGTCACAGCAGCATGCAGACACATGCACAAACACACACATATATATATATATACATATACATATACACACATATATATATATATATATACACACATATATATATATATAACATACACTGTGCTAATGTAATTACAAGCTGTGTGCCACATGCAGGGGTGATGTGATGTAATTAGGTTGTGGAGGGCTGGTCAGTCCTGGGGGCTTCTGTCTATCTGATCAGACTCTGATTGGGGGCTAGGGGAGGCCGAGTGGTAGCGGGCAGAATAAATAAGATTAAGTTAGATTATACTGGATTAGTTTAGCACTTATTGCACTTGCCAAATCATGTCACATTAGCTCCGCTGTCCTGGCCCATTCATAAAGGACAGATTTTTAGGAGGTGTGACATTTCTCTGTTGTTAAGCGCACATTTTGTGTGTGTGTGTGTGAGTGTGTGTGTGTGTGTGTGTGTGTGTGTGTGTGTGTGTGTGTGTGTGTGTGTGTGTGTGCGTAATGAAATCAACCTAATTTAAGGAGATCTTGTGATGAACAATTTCACATACGGTATCAGTATCAGGCAGTAATTGTTCAAAAATGTCTGAAAGAACACTGAATATATCAGACTGATTTGATACGTGGATGATTCATGTGTTCATTTCAGCTGATTTTCTAATTTGTTCAAGTTTTCATTTATACTTAGCAACTTCTTTTTGTATGATACAAATACCATTTGAGATAAAAAAATGTTTCAAAATGTTTATGGGTGATGCACACAGTGTCTATATAGTCTATATTCTTTAGATATACTGTATATCCTTCATTGTTGATATGTATATATTCAGTGTTTTGAGTATTTTGTTTATCTTCTACTGCTGATATGTATATCTTTATCGTTTTTTTATTTGCATTTAATTTGTATTTTATTCTATTTAATTCTAATTCATGTGCTATGTCTTATCTATGCTGCTGTGAAGGAAACATTTCCCAAACTAGGATCAATAAAGTATCTTTTATCTTATCTTAGTGGCAACGTAAGTATATGATGTTGGTATTGTTTGGAAAGACCACACATTTAATTATTTATCATACGTTGATAATAATGTGCATTTTTAAGAACTAGATTGCTTCACATCTACACTAAATTTGAAGGAGAACGTGAAGGTTGGTACTTACTTGAGGTCTTTGTAGTCGGGGTAGACATACATGTGTCTGAACGAGTCTATAGCGATGACGGGACAGTCAGCGGGAGTTTTCTGGATATGGAGCAGAGGATGGCGGAATTTCTCGCAGTCTGCGTGCAGGAAGTTTATAGACCCTGAAGAGGAAACAATGATGTCATGAACCACTTCTGAAAACAAACAGTTTGACTCATGGGTAACCACAATCCCCATCCTGGATAGGTACTAAATACCAGGCTCACCTTTCTCGCTGATGAGCTGGCGAGCCACTTCATGCTGGAACTTCTCTAAACTCTGCGTGTCTTCTTTCACATGGAACAGGATGAGGAAAGGGATCCCTTCTTCAGTCAACTCCTGAAAACACAAATACACAAAACAAAGCGTCACGGACAGATGGAGCCAGGGCCTTTCTGTGGCTCAGCAGATGGACTACTCAAGAGGCCATGAATACTCTCCAGGATGTTTTTGTGTAAATATCTCTGTACTTCTACATATCCAGATTCACACATCTAACATCAGACCAGAAAGCAATCGTTAAAGCAGGAACAAACCTCTCCATTTTCAAAGGTGATCTCCCTGACCAGAGGCACACACTTGTCCTGGGCCCAGGCGTAGGTCAGGTCGAAGTTGGTGAGTGAACCGAGGTAGACCATTTCGGGGATGCTCTCTCCAACGGGCTTGTAGATGATATTGTCTCCACTGAAGCGCTCGGCCTGAGATATGGCTCTATAAGAGTAACACAGAAGGTTAGGATGAATACAAATCGAAGAATTCATCTAAGAATATAACATAGATGGCGTTTTGTCTCACCCAAAGGCCGACAAGAACGTGCAGTCATCTCGAAGGATGTTGGCAACCTTTGCATATGTGTTGTAGTTCTCCGAGTCCTTACTTTCAAAGTAAGCTATGATGTTTCTCTTGCTTCTCTGTGGAAAAAGAGAGTCAAAACATTAGCAGTGAGAAAATAAATGACTTTTTTGTGTTTAAAATGACTGTTCATATTTTTTAGTGGGCAGGCTTTCCACTCACATCCAGAGTATTCATCTCCTCCACGGATTGCAGCTCTTTCACAGGGTTGACCTGCTGCTGGCGGATGAAGTCAGCGATGGCCGCCACCGACCTCTGACCCCTGTACTCCCTCTTCATCATCATCCCATTGCGGAACATCTTCAGTGTTGGATACTTGGTGATGCGGTACCTCTGGGCAATGTCCGCTACACAGCGAGGGTGGGGGAAAAGTTAAGTAAAGAAAGACAAATCAATTGATGGAGAGGAAGCAGCGGAGTAAAGACACATGGGGACGGGAGGATGAGGAGGAGCGGGGACAGAGACGGCGGTTAAACCTGAAAACACTGCCTTCAGTCGGCTCTGAGCTCTGATCTCCCACATGAAAGCTGCCCCCCCGCCAAGAGTAAATATTCTCCCTGCACACACTGAATGAGTGCGAGTGTGTGTGTCGGTGTGGCAGGTGTCAATCTCCCTGCGGGGGGTCTCTAAGCCTCCCGTCTTCACAGGAAGCAGCAGTTTTGTCATTAGTCTTCAAACAGTTTGCAGGTCATCAATAATTCTCTTTAATTTGCTTTATCTCAAAAGGCTGAGGCTGGCGGTTTATGTGTCTGTGCTTTGGTGTCCTGGGCATCTATGTGTACATATGTGCATCAAATGTACAGGGAGTGTGTATGTGCACCTTTTTCACTTGTGTATATATATATATATTTGAAATGAGAGTGTTTAAGTCTTTTAAGGCATCAGATCACCATAAACAACAAAAAACCCATATTTTAATAATAGAAATACTAATATTTCAGACAATAACCATCATATAAATTATAAATAATAAAATAATGTTCATTTGAATCTAAACATTTCTAAGATTAGACCACTTGTATTTGTTCTACATCATTGATCAAATAGATAGATAGATAGATTGGTACTTTATTGATCCCAAATTGGGAAATTGATTTTGTTGCCGCAGCAAGGTGTACAGGCATTACAATATTTAAAAGGTGGAAGAAAGTAGAAATGAATAAACAGTAAGGCTCTGGTAACTCCTGACTGGTATTTCTCATCATGTCTTAATGTTGTGCTGTAGGTTAAACAAACAAGAAACACTCAAATCGAATTAAAAGTTAGTAATACTTACAATGTTGGTCGCAGTCGACTCGGGCAAACACCACCTGCTTGGTTTCAGGGAACTCCTCCCTCACTATGTTAGAAGACTCTTCAAATATTGGGTGGAGCATCTGACTGAATCTGCACCTGTGAGATGGGGAAGTGGTGTGAGGCCAAAACGATTTCTATATCTTGTATGTATATTGAATAGATTACTAAGTCTATTGGACTCAATTTCGCAGCATTTCAATGTTGACAATGATTTTAGACTATTAGAGCTTCACTACTTAGACTTAAAGAGATTCAAACAAACATCAATGTAAAAATCCTTTCAAAATAAATCCACAAAATCTTTACTGCAGATCACAGCAATCTCATTATACTTGTGTCACAGTGTGGCATTCATAGGGAATGTCTATATCATGAGAACAATTCATTTTAACATCCTTAACAAAATACAGAGAAGTCCAATGACTATGGGAGAGAAACAACACACTTACCAGTCTGCGTAAAAATTAACTATCGACACCGCAGCATTATCTGCAAGGAAACACACAGGAAATTAAAATAAGCCTCTTAACATTTCTAAATACACCCACGTTCATTTTGTTAGATAAACTAATTACGTTATGAGTGTTATCAATGTTAAACCCACATTTTTGTTACTGGCTCATAGCTCATTATTTATCCATCATACCACCCTCTGATGAAATGTCTTTTTTTTTCAAACCAATGACTTACAATAAGGTCAGACCTTTAACAATAGGATTACATTTATTTCCATGTCATGCAAATATTTTAGAAACCACATTTAGGTTAACACTAAACATTTGTATGAGGCCTGATGACAATCTGACAGCAACGGGTGTGGCCAATATGAACATATGTGCGGGATGGAAATAAAAACGTTTAACGGTGCTATCCACATCAAGAGCTCATTACGTGCATAAAGACAAACAAAAACTGAGACAGAGTTGTGAGACAAATCCTAAATACCTAGGTGGACGTAAGATAAAAGGGAAAAAATAATATCTTTCTCTTTGAGACAATTGAGTTCAAGTGCTAAACTAAGATGTGACCGAGTAGTAAAGGAACATTTAGACAGTTTGACATGCTTATAAGCTTCCTTGGCCACAACCATGAAAGAGAAATACCAGGAAATAAGCTGTTTCCTCCAATTTCAAGTCCTTATGGCAAGCTAAGACGGCCATGAGGTGTAATGATCTTTGCATCCAACTCTCAACAAGAATGCCAATCGGTGAATTTCACAAAATACGGTTCCCTTCAGTTTTACAGAGTAAAGTCTGATGCCTTACTTAGGACGTCATCAATGTTGGCTGAATCCAGACTGGTGATTTCTGCCTGTCCGGGAGTAGAGAGGCCCATCGCCTACAGACACAAAGGGTACAGATAAAAAGGTAATTAAAACATAAAAGCACAGACGGCTGGTTAAGAAAACTATGTGGTGGGGGGGGGAATACAAGATCTTGAGATAACACATCTGTATTTGCCTATAATTCTTGAAATGCAGGACCTAAATGACTTAAGACTGAGTGAAGCAACTGCTAATCCACACAACCAGTGTTTACTGGGTCCGCCCCAGGCTTTTTATCCAGTCAGTGTTTCCTAGAGCTGGGCTAAATATACAATATAACATCAACACTGTCACCTTGCATGCAAAGCAATATGCAAATGATGCGCTCATGACCTCCTGTGTTTTGTGTTTTTTATGTACATTTGGACTGAAGTTTCAAACAGTGTTAGAGGGATTTCCCTTCATTTTGATCCAACAAGTGAAGGTTATGACACACAGATGGTAAATATAAAGGAAATGGTCAGGAAGTCACACAAACATGTGACACTTGATGAAGATCTATGCTTTTGTTATGTAATGGTATGCTTTATATGTCTTGTTTGTCTAGAACCAGTTTATCCAGAACCAGTTTGTCATGAACCTGCAATTACAGTATTTAGTACATGCTTTGTCACTAAAGTGGGACAAAACATGGTACAGTAGAGCTGCATCCATTTCTTACAGTGGGTTGACCGTTAAGCCGAAATATCTTTCATAGATCCGTCATATTTCCTTCCTCATATATGTGGCCATAAGACACAATGATAATGCACAGTTCTATCAAACATCCTGTTTTTGTCACACATTTTCTCTGAAAGGTTATCCGTTAGACAACATGAGCGAGTACTGTTGTAGGCCTAATTATATTAGTAGGTTTGTGATAAGAAAGTAGCCATTTGTTCGTTGTGCATCCCCCTCTCTGGTTTACTCAAAAGAAACCAATATATAAACCAATAAGGGAATAAGTAGGATTTACCAATTAATTCCAGCTCTGATTGCAAAGCTGAAATAAATGTAAAGGCTAAATATTTGAGGGCGAAATGGGGGAAAGAACACCAATGTTAAAGGGCTGTTGATGCAAATGTAGGTGTAGCCTGAATTAGCTCCTTTATTACATAACCTATTTTAAACTGGACTTCATTATTTATTTTTAATGAATAACTTATTGACACGAAAAGTGCAATCCCATATTTGTTTGCGTCATTGGGAAATGTACGGTGGCTTTCTAATGTCAGCCACTTTATTCAACACTTATTAAAGTAACCTATAAAATTATGCCTGCACTATCACTCCATCTGTGGTCTGATTTCTAACTCGAGATCCTCGTCAAACAGGATGTATGGGTGTCCTTCCTGAAAGAGTTACTGACACGTCGTACATCAATATCAATAGTAAAATAGCCAACGCTCACATTAGTTAATGCTTTACTGGATAACCCAATATGTAAATAAACTCACACACAAACATATCCTCAAGTTCAACTGTCCTTCATTTAGTTGAGTGTTGTTCCAATGTTGTAAAAATGGTCTGAAACTAAATGCTATTTCTTTAAAGATGATTTATGTTCAATTAGTTCTGAATTTTAATATAAATATGAATATGTTTTATCCAAACGATAGAGAAGCTGGGACAATTTACTGTTTCGTATCTGTGCATGGAAAACATCTTTACTGATGAACTGATGATAGTTGTTGCAATTTCGTTCTGTGGCTTGTCTATTCATTTAACAGACTTATCGTTTTAGCTGTATAGAAAATATTTACTGAATACATGTAAACGTTTTACAGTTATTCAACACTCTTCAATTAAATTAAAACTGTGGTACATGAGGTGAGAAATGCAACATTGTTGTACATGTCCTAACTACAAGTCCTAACAGTTCAAATGTATCCCAACCCACGTATGTAACTGTTTGAATTCATTCCTGGATGTATGCATTTACCTTTGGGGGGGCCATAAAGTCAGTGGAAGGTGGCTGCCCCGCCCTCAGTAACAATAGTAGTAGAAACCAGTAATTAGAGAGGGTGTTTCTTCTGCTCAACCTCTAAATATGGTCTAATATTGTGTATACTTTGATATACATATACAATGATGTGTATTCCTCTATAAAGTAGAGCCAGTGAAACCAAGAATGTGGCTAGGTTAAGTTCTTTATTAGAGTTGTGTTCTTTTCGAAGTTTTGTAAACTATACAATTCATTTAAAAGAACTGTGAAAAAAGAAAGTCTCAACATTGTAAAATCAGATATAGTACATTTATACCATATAGCATGACACAGCTGCACACTGATATGAAATGCAACCCTTGCTGTGGTTAGACCGATGAAGACACTGCTCTGCAACTCGGAGGAAAGTTATCTTTCAGGCCCAAAACTCTCACAACAGCAGCACAGCTGCGTAATGCCTATTTCCGGGTTGACAGCCAATAAGAATGAGCCACAACAGAGGAATTCATGAACCGGCGAGCACCATTCAGAGACACGAATGGTTTGACAATAAATGTATGCATCCATAACGTTACACAAACAAATATAAATATTGATCAAACATAACTTATAAACCCTTTCAATAAATAGAATGCTTAAACTAACCACGATTGTAATCAAAAATGGTACCCTGCTGTCAATAAGTGGTAACGGCTAATGCTAGCTCGATGCTTCATCCCCCCCTTAAAGTTATCAGGAGTCCAACTTTAGTCAAAGCATACAAGTTTGCAATATACGCCCTTTCTATATAAGAAACATCTTGATTAGATAAGAAGGATTATGACTTGTTACAACACTACAGCTAACGTTATTTAACACCACCGGCTGAGTTGACATTGCAGCTGGGTAACTTGATTAGTTATGGCAGACGTTTGGCGAAACCCAGTCCAAGGGCCTCCTTACTGAACCCAATAAATAATAACTGCACTTCCAGCAATGATCTGACTCCCTGGTGGTGTAGGACAGTTTAAAAGCCACGTCTCTCTCATGTCAGCAGAGGCTCATCAGTTAGCTAGCAGCTAACCATACAGCGGCAGGCTAACCAACGCTAATTAGCTGGGGCTAGCTGGCTGTTGAAGCTAAATAGCAGTGCATAAAAGGTTAAAATATGTATTCTTACCAGCAGGATAACTGTGACGAAGCGGATATCGAGAGACGGATATATTGCTAACAGTTTCATTGTATAGTATAGATATTGGAGGCGGTGGTGTTTAGTCTTCCCAATGGTCTCGACGCCGCTCTTCTCTTCTAAAGTGCAGCCGGAAACCTACGGCGGACCAATCTCACTGTGACCAAGGAAACGTGAGTGACACTTCCTGGTATTTGCTTGGCTTTGTGGGTGGTGTAGTTTTACGAATAGCCAAACGTCTGAGTCGGATGTTGGAGAAAACTTCAATCATGGCGGTTTTATGCTTGACAACAGTAACGGGACTTGTAGTGTTTTGTCAGCGGCGATTCAACGGGACTCCTATGAAGAAAACTTTCTCAAGATGTTCATCTGAGAGGAAACGAACTTTAACGGTAAATATAACACCGACGAAAGAGGAGTGTAAAGGACTTGTTATTACAATAAAATAGCTTTAACATTATACTCATTTTATTCACTGTCACGCATTTGTGCTTCTTTAGCAGCCTACGCTTATGAATAACTGATTTCTCTTGAGTAAGGGGGGTTGCATCATTATGCCTAACTTTTTGTAAAACTCAATGCGACCTATTTTCCACCAGCTAGCAATACGTTTTTAAGCTTTAATATGCTGTCTAGGGTTTTAGTTGTTGATTAAAAATTGTTGTTACACAACACTTAGTTAGAAAACATTTAGATGGATGGATGGATGGATGGATGTATGGATGGATAGATAGCAAAGAAAATGTAGGCATTCAGTAAGGAATGAGAGATAAAGCACAATAAAAAGCCAGCTTTATGTCTGGAGTGCTGTTAGAGGTAATGCAAATGTGTTGTGATTAACAGTGCATGTATTGCAAATACACGAAAGTAAAGTAAAAACCGTTAAATAATGTTTGTATAACTGCTGCTAAATCAAATACAGATTCCACAACTCAATACCAAAGACACTGTTGTCCACAAAAGATTATTGCACCTCATCAGATAAGATGAGAAGACTGTTGTCACAAATAATGTCACTGAGGCATCCTCCCTGTGTCTGTAATCAGTTCAGTGTGCTGGCAGTTATTTGTGTGAACAGGTGGGCTGGTCTCAGTATGTGAGTGATCCTCTTTCTCTGGCCCAGCAGGAGCCAGGATCAGGGCAGGTAGGGGACCTGGATGTGCATCCACACCCACCAAGGATGCACTGAACTGAGAAACATCTGCTGAAGTGCCCCCCCTTACAGCAGCTATGGTAAGAATCCAACACACTCAAAGCATCTACCCATATTTAATGTAGGTTTCTATTTAGAAACCTACATACATTTGGTATTTACCAAAATAGTTTTTTCTTATTTTTTGGTGTATCTGTCAGTTACCTCGGTTCCTCCACTGTACTACAGTTTTGTAATTCTTTCTCTAGAGTCAATACCCCTGAGACTACTTATAACAAACCTAATTGTGTGTGCTGAAGGTCTAATTGTTAAGGAGATTAAGGTGGAATGTTGAATTGAATCCCAGCATTAATATTTTATGGGCTAAAGCTGTCCATAGGGGGTTCACAGTGTGTGAGCAACTCACAGATGGAGACAGAGAAAGATTTCTCTCTCTCTTCCTGTCAGTGATCGAGTAAAAAAGAGCTGCAGAAAGTCATTTTTTAATTTGTAATGCTGGGAAATAAGTACAAAATAAGCATCACGATATCACAATATGTGCTGAGGCATGTAACAAAACTAGTTGAATTGACTATACTTTATTTAGTACTATACTATCTGTCAATGTGAATTCAAACTGAATCAATTATTTTTGGTGCAATTATCAAGAATTTCATAAATCTTAAGCTTTTCTTAAACTAGACAAAAACAACAGCCCCATAATTCATGTTACTAATATCATTGATTAATATTGGACTCAAATGTAGTTAAAGTGAATTGGTGAATATGAGTCTGGTAGTTTGCTTGTCTAGTAAATGATTCCTATGCGTGTCTTTTATTCTGATTTTGAAGTGCATCATTTCTCCCTCGATTGTTGGAAATAAGAAGTAAGATATATTTGAATCCACATCCATAACAAGTTGAACTCTGATGTAATATATAAACTGGAATGCTACAAATTCATAATTTTTAACAATGACTAATGTAGTTTGGCTTTTTCAAGGAATTGATCAGTATTTACCAAAAATATGACCGATGCCTTGTACACCAGAGCCAAATGGGTCTTTAAATTGACTGCATCGTCTGAAAAAACAACACAAAGGTGTTTTATTCACAGTGACATTTAACAAACAAATCAAGGCTATCTTTTAATTTGAGAAGCCAAAATCAGCAACTGGCGCCTGTCTTATAATAAAAAGTCAATTGTTATTTGTAGATGAACCAAAACAAGATCACAGCATGGGAATATTTTCTTTTAATGATATGTTACAGAATACATTTAAGTTTTGACTAGTGTGTATTATGTCTTGTACTCAGCTGCAAGCTACACATGAGTAAATATTTAGGCTCGTAACCTTGCATTTGTACTTTGGAGGGAACCTTGTCCGAAGACAGCCATATCACACCAGTGCAGCACAACCTCATATCACTCTGCTTGAAGTCTGATTTGATCTGTCCATCTTTTCCTATTTTGCCTTTTCCTCCCTTTTCTGTTTTCTCCATCTTTTTCCATTTCGTATTGCTTCCATTGATTTTTTTGTTTGTTTTTCCAGCTGATTATGTCCCTGTACTCTGATTCGCCGGTGGGCACATTGCTCTCTGCACTTTAATTGGACATTTAATTAGATCACAGTTTTAGTCCAATTAGACTCAGAGGTGCTGGGAAAGGATATGGAGGGGAGAAGAGGAAAAAGTCCCCAAGCTGCTCCCTGTCTCCCTTCCCCCTTCTCGTTCTCTCCCCTCCTCTTCTCACTCATTTTCTTCTTCTGTCTTTTTCTGTCCGCCTTGCTTTCTCTCGTCCCCCTCCTGAGGGCGGCTCATTAGTGATATAATGGGATGACACAAAACACACAGCTCCCCTAACTCTTAGTGGCTCAAGCCGTGCCTGAACCCCACACACCACACACACACACACACACACACACACACACACACACACACACACACACACACACACACACACACACAGAGACAGACAGTGTGACGGGGACTGTATCAGCTCACTTTTGCAGTAGTTGTACGTTTGTTTTTGGTTTGGTTTTTAATGAAATCTTTCTTATTCTAATACCAAAGCTATGAAGAGGTACGTGAAAGTGTGTTGGTGTTATTAGTGCCTTTGATTATTTCGCAGCACCACCTATCATTCTGCCAGTCACAGCAGCATCGACCAGCCTACACACACACACACACACACACACACACACACACACACACACACACACACACACACACACACACACACACACACACACACACACACACACACACACACACACACACACACACACACACACACACACACACACACACTACAAACATTAACGACATGCTGGGCCGAACCCTATCGACTCAGTGGAGTGCTCCGGTATGATATCACTAGACCTAATGAGACTAAGATAAGCCTCATTACCAGCAGCGCTCGCTCTCTCACATGCCAGTGAAATGCAGGGCTATTCTGCACAAGTTTTAACTCCCCTATGGTTCCGCCCTCTCCCCCTTTTGTTGTCATAGTTCTCACACAGAGCTCTGTCTCAGCATAAACAACCCAGAGCCCCAGTGGGACAAACACATGGGTGAATGTAAACACACACCCAGATGTATTGGGATCTGCACACACTTGCGCTCAGGTGTAAGTCCTCGAAGGAGACAACACCCTCTCTGTCCCTTAAGCAGTCACACACACCGCCTTCTTTTCTCACTTCCTCCTAACCTCCGCCCTCAGGAGAAAGAGAGAGACGTTTCAAGTTATTTATTATTATACGCATACACAATAACAGTGGAGGAGCTGTTGTTGGCAATGAATATCTTGGATAATTAAATATGTATTTTTTTTTTTTTTTTAAAGTGAATCACCCAGGTTAAAGCAAATATGAAGCTTAAACATAAGAGTTTGATGTCAAAATAAACAGCTGACGTAATAACAAAGTAAAATAATAAGCTAAAACAAGTGTTATAAATGGAAATTAGAATGTTTTTTTATTCCTTTTTTAATGTCTGAGGTGCAATTTGAACAGGTGGGTTTCTGCTGTGAATGATATCAGCAGAAAGTCGCACACGCATCCTACACTTCATATACCAGATGTGTCATCCCATTTTTACATGTGTGTGTGTGTCTGCTGAACGACAGGCAGCAGGCAGGGGTGTTTTAGCCACAGGCGTCACTACCTGACCCCCGTGGCTGTGAGATTGACAGCTGTGGTCCCGCCTAATTGCATTACTCTCCCAGGTGATTGGCTCACACCCTGGGGGCTCATTTGTCAGGATGCATTGTGGTAATGATGTAAATTAGCAGATCTATGTGTCACTCAGCCTTCTCGCCCCCTGCTGATTGGCCCCGCTGTGCCCCAGGGCCCGGCCCCCAGCTGAGGGAGCCAGCTCATTGGTCCTTTGGGAACCAGGAAGTCCCCTAGAAATATGGCTTTCAGAGTGGGCATCCCTGTGGGCTGATATTATCCTTCCTCCCACCTCTTTAACTGTCAGTCAAACCAGGAACTGATCCCTGCAGCCTCTATCTGAGACATAGATACACCCACACTCACACATTTTCACACAGAGACATGTAGGTGGTAGGTGCCACCCATAATAGCCCCATGTCGACTGAGAGCCTTTACACACTCCGTTATAACCGTATAAAGGTACAAACATATAAAGTGTGTGTGTGTGTGTGTGTGTGTGTGTGTGTGTGTGTGTGTGTGTGTGTGTGTGTGTGTGTGTGTGTGTGTGTGTGTGTGTGTGTGTGTGTGTGTGTGTGTGTGTGTGTGTGTGTGTGTGTGTGTGTGTGTGTGTGTGTGTGTGTGTGTGTGTGTGTGTGTGTGTGTGTGTGTGTGTGTGTGTGTGTGTGTGTGTCTAGAATTGAAATAAAGGCCACAGGCTCAGGCTCTGTTCCCCACTGCTAACACAGCATGCCTTAGCTATGTCCTCTATCAAAAGCAGACAACTTCACAGTGACAGACAGGCAGCTAAAGCAAAAAGAAATAGACCCACACACCCACCCACACACACACACACACACACACACACA